CGCATGCTGCTTCGCTTATCATCCCTTCTGGCTCGGAGACGGTGTCCTCATCGAGGATTGGGGAATGAGATTCGACCAAGCACTTGTATTTTCCCCGAGCCCACTCCAGAAGCAGACTTCAATCAGAATCTCGTTTGTCGGCGTGTCCTTTACTTCGACACAGCCCCGGGGACTTGTAGGAACGATGTGAGAACCCTGACGGATCCCTTGAGATCAATTAAGGTCTGTGGAGGGGCGGGAAACTGAATGTTGGATTGACTGAATGTTCCAGAACATTTCCGCTCGATAGAGAAAAACAGCTTCCTGCAGCGAGCTCTCGCGTCGATAGCACTTCCCGGATATGACGGGCGATTTTCTCTTGACGTAGATTCGATGATAATTTTTGCTGATGGAGGGAAAGACTGGCAACGGAATGAGACACTCGTTTCCCGTCCTACCCGCGATAGACACTCAACTCGAGGACTCGTCTGCGTCATGATCGCGACCTCCGTGCTGCTGGTCCGTCTACTTCTATCACTGTTTCTCAAGGATGCGGTCGGCGCGGGCGGCCTTTCCATCAAAGGAGTGCTCGTGCCGCAGTCCAGCAAATCAGTGAAGCCATCTGCCTTGCGTCGGCAGCGAAACGGAATTTGACTTTTGTGATCGTGCTCCGCGCGAGCAGCGCCATCTCGACCAACTTTCAATTTCTTCTGACTCTCCCTCGTGTTCATTTGTATCTGTCTACGGAGAGCTTTATCCTAAAATCAAATGACAGAGAGATAACAATTTCTTGGGAACGTGATTTGAATCCGAAAAGAAGTTTGCCTGGACAATTTTTCGATATGTACAGCTCTTGCGGATACAGAGATCGCAGAACCGCTGAGAGGAATGTTCAACTCTTCCAACTCGACAAGCGCGTTCTCGTCCAGATCCGCGAGCTGACACCCGAGGAGGCTAGTAGGTCTCCTAACGGTGTGCAAGACGCTCTGGGCCTGAGTTTGAGTGAAACGATAAACTACTTCCATCGTTTCCTCCGAATATTCATCTTGGTGAGGCTTATGGACAGCGATGTGCTCATCGGACACCACACTGTGCAGAGAGCCACAGAAGACGAGGAGCAGACTGGGGGTGGATGTCTGAAGAAACTCAGTCAGCGGGTCATATTCTTGGACGACGCCCGCGGTGTCTTCGAACCCGGAATTCCCGCACCGAATCGTAGCTTTCCAATCGAGCTCGACTTTCTGAGAATTTACTTCCCCCCAGACTCTCAGGGCTATGGAATCGCTTGGGAGAGCTGTCCCAACGTGAGTTTGCTTCTTCCATCTGTTAGGTACATGCATTCCTATGCATCCTCATGATTCCCTGTCTTTCCAGGATTCGATAGAGTTCGTGTTCACCTTCGAGTATCGAGCGGTCCGGCTGGCTGTTCCCCAGTCATGGCAACCTCAAATCATTTCAAATCTGCCGCAGTACATGACCCTGGAAGTGCCCCTCACGGTTTTGTCCCTCATCGTTCTGCCCTTGTTGCTTTCGATCCAAAGCCATCGATCGATCCTTCGACCATTCTCGACTTGGAGAACTGTCTACCATCTCCTCAGCGGTGACGATCAGAAGTCCTTGATAAACTCTGTCGATCAAAAAACTCTGGTGCTACTTGTAGCGGGTGTCATATCGCTACTTATCCAGTATCCGATAAACCTACTGAAGTGCGAAGTAGTTTCGTCTACATACGAGCAACGAGTACAGCCTTCAAATTGCTCGGTGAAGTCGTGCGGGATCCCGGCGGAGCGGGATACGTGGTTCCTTAGAAATCACCCTTCAAGTCCGAACATATGGAACTTGGAAAAGAATTCTGATCTGCAATCTCCGGTCCTTCCCCAGAACTTGAACAAAGGATGTTCTCCGATGTCCTTGTCGATGTCTGCCATGGTGAATTGGACGATGCTGGGCTTCTTGGTTCAGTACCACACGCTCTGCAACGACCCAGAACTCGTCAGGATGATTATCGGCAAGTGGGATCGAGAACTCGCCTTCGAGTTCATCGCTGACTCGAAAGCGAGCCAAACATTGTGCTCCCGTCACGAGAGTTTCGGCGCTCACGTCGACTATGATAAACATCTCGATATTACGCAGAGGATCCTGCGGCATGGTTTGTTGAAGTTTCATCACATAAGGAATTCTCTAAGTCGACAGGATGAGCTCGAAGAACACTACTGGAAAGGCGCGCTCAGGGGCGGTTTCGCGACAGAATCGTTCATAGAATCGCATATCATTGAAATTAAAGATGACCTCGCTCGTAGATACAAAGTATATGACATGCTCGACCACGGACGCAGTACTAAACCCCTGGAGTTCCGGGAGATGAAGGGACTTTTTCAGACATTCTCCGGTGCGATGCTCGCAGTGCTCTTTGGCTTCGTGATTCACAACTGTTTGAGGTCAATTCAATCTCATGAGGAACTCCGCGAAGCACGGAAACCTCCATCCCCGGATGTGTGATGATACGTATCCCGTAATATTGTGAATATTGTGGATGAATATGATTAATTCCGTTCGGAACTCGAGATCCAGTCGGTGAAAATTTGAAACATCGGGAGAACCGAACTCGAGAGCCGACGTATTTGTTTTGCGTAAGAGCCTCTCGAATGGATGGGAACGTTCGGAAATGAAAACGCTAGCGCGAATAGAGCTTCATATTCGCGGCGACCACAGCTCCGCTTTTACAAGCAGCCAATACATCGCCCGTTGACGAGGAGATGAAGCCACTCAGGAAAAGCAAGATAAGAGTATTACCGATCTGGGCTCGTTTTCCTCGAACCTCCCGAGGCTTTAGCTTCAACCCCGATCTGACGCGGATCATTTCTAGACTCGACGTATCCGGTTGGCTTCGAGAATTCGCGAGAAAAAATCACCGTGGCTGATCGCTGCCGAGAAAGGCGGACTTCACGGGGCTCGTTCCCTTTCCGAGCTCAACCGATGCGGTGGTCTCCAAAAGAATACGAGCAACCTTCTTTGTGTGGCTTCATCTTGATAGATCTGTGGATGTACCGGAGGAGGGAGGACACGGTGTTCATATCTTCCGAATTCTGCCTCTCTCGTGTCCAACGTCTATGAAGGAGTGACCTGGAGATCATGTCCGACAGCTCACGGGAGTGAGTCAGGTATAGACCCAGTAAGCCGAAACTTTCACGCCGAAACCCAGAAAGCCGAAACCTGGAACGCCGAAACCCAGTACGCCGAAAATTCCTTCTGGCGGAAATACCGATCACACGTTCCGAAGGAATACAAAAAGCTTTTTCTTCGAGATTCAGTCTATCTCTGCGATTTCGAGAGGAGGAAACTTCAGCGAAACATAAGCTTCGGAGTTCAAATGATTTTGGCACGTTTTTGTGGACACCTATTCAGCTCCTACAGCTGATCGATTCGCGAGGGAACAGCTGCTTGACTCGTGAGAGCAGTGCGCGCCTGTTCTTACGTGCTCACGTTGTGCCGCGACGTTCACGGCACACAGAACCTGCCGGCGCGGGGGTGCAACCAGTAGATTGACTCCATTGTTCTCTCTGATCAGGCATTCGATTTTTGGGAGCATGATTTCCTCGCGCTACCGTCAGCTTGTACCATCGTCCAGCAAGCTGGCTCGTTTCCTCTGAGTATTCTCCAGAGACTCTTCCCTCCAGGGTCATTCCGGAATCGTCTGAGATAGGCAACCGCCAGAATTTACACAGGTTCCACAATGCAGGAGTGCTAGGAGATATATCCTCATTTTCTGAACCCTCAATAACTAACGGCAAAGTTCACACGCTGATTCTAATGCTTCACTATGAAAGCTTTTCAAGCCGAGCACTGCGTGGCCACTCAGCGGAATCAGGGTCGATTCGATCGACGACTTCCGGTGCCCTGGATAACCCTCCCCAGAGTAGGAACCATGAGCTCCCGGTAGCTCCTTGTCGTGATGCTAATGCTAAGGAAGGAAAACAAAATCTGACTGCGCTGAAACTCGGTCAATGTCGTGATCGCCCCGATCACCCGACAACCTCCACACAGCCAAGGGTATAGCTCTGACACAAATTCCGGACCTGGTAATTTCGATCAGTAATCTTCTGTTTAGACCCGAAGGCAATATCCACCGGCGGATAATCTAACTCTGAGAATCGCGATTTTCTCAACGAAGACTTATGGGAGAATCGGGGGCAATAATCGTATTCATGGAATTGAAAACAAAACACTTTCTGCGTCACTTTATTTCACAGCTCTTCTTTTTAGGGTCCCATTATGATCCCTTGTTTGCTCACTCCCGCTCCCGTCCACGTCTTTCCGGGACCAGCTTCTCAAGAAGTTCGCATAATCCTCGTTGGAATGCCTCGAATGAGAAGAGCGTGACAACTCGTTTCCTTCCGGCGCTACCCATTTCCTTCACGGTGCGTCTCGGGCTCGTTGCGATTTCTAGCATCGCTCTGCCGAAAGCGTCTCCAGTGGGCTCGCAAAGGAAGCCCGTCGAGTTGTGTTCGATCTGAGAGGTAGTTGATTCAAGGAAAGTTACATGAGAAGCCCTCCCTCGCATGAGCTCTACCACACCGCCTTGAACTGCATTTCAGCTAGCTCGAGGCGATTTGTCTCACCGTTTCCAGAGGTCCGCCCGTGTTGGTGGCAATCACCGGTCTCATTGAATACATCGCTTCGATTGGGACGATGCCGAAATGTTCGTTCTCCGGCGTGTAGACGACCGCTAAGCAAAGATGCATCAAGAGCTGCTGCTTCTTATCGGACGGGGATTTGAGGAACGTCACGTGATTTCCAATATCCAGCTTTGTGGCGAGCCCCACGAGCTCGTTGTTATGCTCAATGTTTTCCTTGTTTCCGGAGTCGAAGCCGCCAGCGACAACCAGGTGGAGATCTCTTCCTCCACTGTTCAGAGCGATTTCTGAGAAATTACAGCAGGCGGCATTAGGACACACAAGCCACGACGATGAGGGTCCGAGCCAAACGACATGGCCTGGTAGTTTCAGATCGACGACGGAACTCACTGAGAGCTCCTAGAGCCAAATAAATTTTTGACGTGAAAACGTCTTAAATTTCACTCAGGGGGTACAAACAATGTACTTCGTCCTCCATGCAACGAAATTTGAGGCACTTTGCGACCCTATAACTCGTGTTGTTCGGAACGGATCCAATCGTTGAATGCATCGATCGGAAGGGAATTCACGGAGGTATCAGCCATTCAATTTCCGTGGTTTTATGCCTGGCGGTTTTGAAGGTTTCCGGGAGTGATTTCGGATGCACCTGGAACACTCCCGGATAGTGTATAAGTGCAGGATTTCCTCTGAAAATATTGAGTTTGTGCGATATATTGGAGAAGAGTAGCGAAGATTCTGCTGGGCTCGACCGGCGGAATACAACTCATTGGGCAGGACCAGTCGATCAAGGGGACAATTCCCTGAGATTGATGGAGATCAGATCAAAGTCACGATGCCCGATATTTGAGATTATTTCGATCTCGAATTCCTACCGAGTCGCGCGACTCAACAGTGGAGGTAACTCTCTCAAGGAACAATCAGAATTGCTCCCTTCCGAATTTCCGGAAAACGTTAGCTCAGCCTCCGCACATTTTGCGATCGCGAACGACGATGCTATCGGCGAGGAGCTTTTCATTGAGTCGCTTCGACCCCGATTTTATTGGTAAGAGGAGGGGAATGCCTGACCGCACGCCTGGGACGAGATGAACTCCAACCAGGCAGTGTGGGGCCCTCACCCACTAAACCCCTCCTCTTCTCTCCGCTGATGCCTGGAAACAACTGAGAGTATTCCTTCAGGCGCTCAGGGAGACGGCTCACTTACACCTTCGCTCCTTCGAGATAGTCTGCTTCTTCCCGCTCAATGAGCGCCCTTCGCCTCTTCGATATCCAGTCCTTCCTCCTCAGGATCCTGTCGACCGTCTTCGTGATCTTTGCCGGCTCTCCTCGCTCTAGAGCATTCGGTCCACCAGAGATGGGACGCTCTCCGCGGTGAGACCTCTTCTTTCCCTCTCGAAGGTCTGACATCTAAGGATGGTGTGCTCTACATCGTCTCGAGTCTTCTCTTCGCAGAAGAGGCACGCGTCTGACGGCGCCTTCCCTATCCTGGCGAGAAAAGCGTGGAAGTTTCCATCGCCGCTCAGCATCTGGCTTGTATGTATAAAAAGTGAGTTCTCTGCTCCCTGCCAGCCAGTGGCCGATGTTCGGTATGCACTTCCGAGTCCATGCACCGCTGGTGCTATGGTCCCATCGAATCTGCCATCTGGCTAGGGTTTCATCTCTGGCAATTCCGTCGATTTCCCGTCCGCCCACGTACGGAGGGGCAGATTCTACTCCCCGTTGTGCTTCGTGGATCCGCGCTCTCTTTTCTGCCAGCAGTGACCACCGTATGGTCTTGGCCATGACTAGGGCCGCCTCTAGGGAGACCGTTTTGTAGCACCTTATGATCCGCGTGGCGGGTGTCTTCTGTGCTCGGTCTAGAGCCTGTCGGTTGTGTTTCGTCTTCATGGCGGCCTTCGCGCATATTGGAGCGGCGTAGAGCGCGATCGACTCCGCAACTCCGGCCAGGAGTCGCCTGCCGTCCTCTGAGGCTCCATGGGTATTCGGAAGAATCCTCGCTATGTCCCTCGCTGTTTTGCGGGCCTTGGCCGCGGCTGTCTTGACAACACATGAGGCATGCTTCCAGCGATTACTCGTTTGATCACGAAGGTCGGAAGGACTCACAACCGAGAGGATCAAGCACGGCAATATAAGTTCAATTGAAAACCAACTATCTACATGTAACATACATCTAACTACACACCTTACTACAGGTATCGAAGGCATTTGCGGGATTTGAGGTCATACTCAAATTGACGAATTTTAATGTCAATAGAATGACATCGATGACTTGAAGGGGAGTGCTGAATGTGCAAGACGCCGATCGGGCTGAAACTTCGGTCATAGAATTCCGCCCCGAGGGAAGTTCAACCCTAAGAGGTGTCCATAGTGTTTCCCAGTTTTCTCATATAGCTAATGCTTGAGGGCTAATTCTCGATGATCATTAAAGCACGTTCAAGGTAGCCATAGGCGGATAACCTCTCAGAGTTGAACTTCTCTCGGGGCAGGGATTCTATGACAAAAGTTTTAGCCCGATCGACGTGTTACTTGTTCAGCACTCCCCTTCTTAGATAAAATCAAGAGTCAAGGTAAACGCAATTCAAGGGAAGGCTAAAGGTATGTAGTCGATGGGTTCATGGTTATTTAAGCGCGGATTGATCTGAGCGCATGATCGATTTGAGCGCAAAATTGATCTGAGCGCAGAATCGATTTGAGCTCATGATTGATCTAGGCGCAATTGATCTGAGCGCGATTGATTTGAGCGGAATTGATTTGAGCGCCAATGACTTGCGCGAAATTGATTTGCGCGGAATTGATTCGAGCGAAATGGATTTTAGCGGAATGGATTTGAGCGCATGGTTGATTTGAGCGCATAGTTGATTCGAGCGCATAGTCGATTTCAGCGCAAAGTTGATTTGAGCGCATAGTTGATTCGAGCGCATAGTCGATTTCAGCGCAAAGTTGATTTGAGCGCGTTATCGAATTGAGCGCAGACTCTCGAGGCGCTGCTTGGAGAGTGTGGCTCGGCTATAAACCTTAGTTCGGGGCGGTGGGGAAGAACTTGAGGTTAGGCCACGCAGTGGCCTAACCTCAGATTCGCCCCCACCGCCCCGAACTAAGGTTTAGTCCGCCTCACAATGTCAGAGCTCCGCATTTGGGAACCTAACCTAACCTGACTCACTATGTGGCCATTCTTAAAAAGACATTCGTTGCGAATATTCGATAAACCTGGAGCCGACTCCTCATATGAATCGGAGGAGCATTCCCAAAAGCGCGCATTCGGAGTCTGAATTAACATTTTTATTCAAGCAAATGAGTGTCGATGCGCTTATTAATGAGCTGTCACTTCCACGAGCAGCCACTGACAGAATGTACAGTCAATGACACAAGGATGTCAAATAGGGAGCATATCTCTCATGCGCTGAAATCAACTATGCGCTCAAATCGACTATGCGCTCAAATCAACTATGCGCTCAAATCAACTATGCGCTCAAATCCATTTCGCTCAGATCCATTTCGCTCAAATCCATTTCGCTCGAATCAATTTCGCGCAAATCATTTGCGCTCAAATCAATTTCGCTCAAATCAATCGCGCTCAGATCAATTGCGCCTAGATCAATCATGAGCTCAGATCAATTCTGCGCTCAGATTGATTTTGCGCTCAAATCGATCATGCGCTCAGATCAATCCGCGCTCAAATCACCCGGTACCAGTCGATG